AGGTTGGTAATTCAAAACTAAACCCCAATGTTTATAGTAGAAAAATACTGTGGTTTGCATAAGGTTCCAACTTTAAACATTTAAAGTAAAGTGCACTCCTAAATTTTATAATAAGATAGTAATTTTGGTGCAAAAAATTCTTAGGATGGCCAAAAAATCCATTTTCATCTCTGATTATAAACTTTTACACTACAAACATGGTTCAAATCAAGTATATCTATAAACACATAAAATGTTGAAATTAGACGATCTAGATAATGTGTTATAAGATGTCCTATTTTTGGGACATGCACTATTTTTGAGACTCAGAAAAGTTTTCTTTCCGTATTCATACATCTCGATATCGAGATGATCAATTGGAGTTTTCTGACTTCAAAACAGCCTTGCACCATGGATTTTTTATGTGCACTTGAATTTTACAGTCTAAGATTGTAACATTATATAAAATTTTTCTTTAGATAAATACTCTAAGTAGGGTTTTTTTTTTAATTTATTTATTTACCGGAGGGACTATATATACAGTATGCTTCTATAGGAGCTCACTATACATGGTGTGAATTGATCAAGGATTATTCTATATACATTGATGATGCAATCAAGGGCCTCCTTTCCAACTCTAAAAGTGGATTTGTGTCAATCAGGAGAGTGATATTCATAGGTAGAAAAGTGGAGAAATATTATGAGTAATTGGGGATTGATGTGGTTCACTAAAGGAATAATCAAGGATCTCCATTTTCTAATGTCAAGCTCAAGTAGATGTGGTTCACTATTTACAGAGTTAAGTTTGGAAAAGGAGAGAGATGAATGTTGAAAGTTGAAAGTCGAAAGGGACCACCGATAAATTAGGCTAAAGATTAGGTCCATGTCCAGCACACGGTGGACACGAGGCATATTCTTTTTTAAATGTAATGTGGAATTTATACTGAAAATCGATTTTCATATCTGCCTGGTTATGGGGTACGGCTGGTCTGCCCTGTCTTTTTTGTATTAGTGTGTCTAAAAATTAAATTTAAAATAGAAGGTTATTGGGTGGGGTCCGTAGGAATTTAGAGAAATCACAAAAAATATTGGATAAGTTTAAAAAAAAAAAATATTTTAAAATAGAGGTTTTAAGGGGGAACCCGGCCGGGACCTATATACCATTATGGAGCTGATTCAGTCCCAACCGATTCTATATACAGATCAGCGACCTGGATTAAAAATCGCTGGGTTTTAAAATACTAATATTAATTGTAAAATGTGTCGTTTTAACCCAAACACTATTTTCATAGTTGAAATATTAGTATAAAATTATTGTTGAATTGATATTCATGGTTTTATTATTTTTTTAATTTTTGCACTTTATTAAAAGTGTGAAAAGATTGACAACACTTTTGATTATAAGCATTCCACATACTCATAAATGTTTTATAACATATATGTGAAGATTTTAAAATAATGTAAAAGTTCTTAAACATAAAGGAAATTTGTGACTTTCTTTCCCTCTCTTTCTCGAAAAATCCTCTCTTTAATTTCTTATTTCTCTATCTTCAAGAGCGAAACCCCAATGAAATCGACCCATAGGTTTCTTTTCATTTCTCTCCTTAAACTATTTTGTTCTTTTTTTGTATATCTTTTTTTAATTATTCTGAGGTTACTCAAAAAGGCTACCCTTTTAAACTAAACTGGAGTTTCATGAATAAGAAAGACATTAATTTGCATATGATTGGCCTGCCAAGGCACAACTCCAAGCCTCCTAACATATTTAGAGAGCATCTTGTGATCCACAAACCAGGTGGTGGTTTATATATTACATAGATAAAGATATAGATAGATATAATAGAATCGACGCTTAGAAATGGAAAAAGTTTATACAAGGTTGCAACCTTAAAATGTAGAACTTCGGATGCACCTCAAAAATCCAGCGGAAGAGGTTGTTTTAATGTTGAAAAATCCTCTAATTGATCATCTCGACATCAAGATGTATGCTTATGTAAAAAGAAGAATGATTATGAGTTCCAGAAATAATGCATCTTACAACACATTATCTAGAACGTCCATTTTCAAGATTTTCATATGTTTATAGATCTACTTAATTTTAACCATTTTTTGAGTTTAAAATTTTATTATTAGATATAAAAATAGATTTTGAGATAATTCTAATAATATTTTACATCAAAATTATGTGATATGATAAAATTTGAAGGTGTGCCTTAGTTGGATTGTTTAAGGTTTCAACATTATGGAAACCACACCCTTTAAGAATTGTCCAAGTTGGGGTGCCCAATTCCTCGGGCACCAAAAAATAAATAAAACTATTTAAAAATATGGTTTTAGATGATTTTGATGGTTTTTAAGATGATTTTGGAGCTTTCTTTGTCAATTTTTTTACTTGTTTCCTTTATTTTTTTTGAAATACTCATGTTACAAATAAAATCTCACTAATCCTTTTAATATATTATTATATTCTATTGTCTTTTAATATTTTTATTATTATTTTAATTTTGGCTGATTTTAACTATTTTTTAGTAGCCTTTCACTTTTGATTCACACAACTAACTCGCCTCAAGCCAGTGGCGAGCTCCAAGCCCGAGGCAATCATAAAATTTTTAGATAAAATAGATAGACAGATACCAAAACTTTTTGTTGAAAAGTTAATGAAAATTTTATTCACTCATGAGTATTAATGTTAATAACGTTATTTCTTTTTTAAAGAAATTTGTCATAACTAAAACCGGTTAGAGAAAACGTGATCTTAGTCATGTATTATATTTATATGATCATCATACGCTTTGGATAAGTCAATTAGTTTTTTTATTATTATTATTTTTTTTTTGAATACCCGTGTTTTGAGCTTTTTTTTTTTTTAGAGTACCCTGTAAGAGCATGAATCTCTCTCTCTCTGGGTGGTCACTAGGTTCAAGAGGGTACATCCCAAAATTCAGAGTCCTAAAAATACTCCTGACTTGCAATATGCTCACGTAGGAGCATGAAACCATTTCACAAGTCTAAAAGCTTGGCAGGAGCATCCCAAGAATTGAGTTTCCCATGGAAGAAAAGGCCCCCAAAGATTACACCAACCAAAATGAATTTCGAGGAGTCTCAATTAGAACAAGAAGAGCCATTGGATCATAAGTAAATCAAAGAAACTAGTCAAATACTAGAAATATGCAAGAAAT